GCATTAGGGCCACGTTATTATTTTATTTATTTTTTAGATCATCTGACCATAAGTGATTTTATTTATTTTTAAACCTGAGATTAAAGTCAGAATTCTGAGAAAACATGTCAGAATTTGAGATAAAGCTATTAGCCTATATATTTTTTTCCTGACAACCTCAGAATTTGAGATAAATAAATGTTTTATTTTCTTCCTGAAAAGTCAGATTTTTTTCTCAGACTTTCTCAGAACACATGTTGAACACAACCCTAATTCTCTTCCGTAGTGTCAAATATTGAACATAGATTATTATTAAGAACCGTCCATGCATGGTGTGTTGTCTCATTCAAATGTTTGCGCTTTTATCAGACTGTCAACATGGAATTTGAGGAGCTCGCCTCAGACCGCCAGGGTGAATCCCAGCCTGCTCCTTTGGGTGACATGGAGGCAGCGGAGGCTCTGGTGTCCATGAATAAATGCTGGGAGAACTTCAGACCCCTGACTCCATCCTCAGAGGACGACTGTGTCCTCTTTGTCTCCACTGTGCCGCAGGACCCTCCTTCGGTAAGGGATACACATGGGCTGGGACTTCTCATATAAAAGTCTGCTTTCATTTTGTGAATTCTGTAGAATTTCCCCTCAAAAATGGCTTCATATATGGTGTAATGTCAAACTTGATGCAATCCATAAGAAATGGACTGTCCCGTGTGGGCTGTCCCATAATTGCTTAGATAAATACCTCTGTAATAAAACCCCATGCTGATAAAAAGCCGTTTCACAGAAAATAAAAACCATACAAAAGACATCAAAATATTTAGCATATTTGAACACTTAATTTTATTTGTTGTCTTATTGTAGTGTTTTTATTGGATTAATTGTCCTGCTTTGGTCTGCTTTCATCTGCTCTCTTCACATGAACCTTTATATATTTTCTCTCTCTCTCTCTATATATATATATATATATATATATATATATGAATGGCAAAATCAATAAGCTTTAAAACATTGATTAACATCTGTGGATGTCTGCTCAATGTTCCATTTTATTATAGGATCGACACATATTTTGTCATATATTGATCATTGATTATCGTTACCTCATGAAAGAACAATCCATGCATGGTGTGTTGTCTCATTTTAATGTATTGGGCTTTTATCAGACTGTCAAATTGGTGTCTGAGGTCATGGAGTCGGACATGGAGTGGGAGACTTCCAGTGCGTCCTCAGACTGGTCGCAGCCTGACTGTATCCTCTATGGCTCTGTTGGGCGGCAGCAGTCTCCTTTGGTAAGGGATACATTTGGGCTGAGGGTTCTCATATAAAGGTTTACTTCTACACCAACTTGTAGTTTTGCAAATCTAGTCTTTTAAGTTTGTAAATTAAGTAAATGTATAGCACTTGTATCAATAGGGCTGCAAAATATATATTTCTCATGTAAACAATGGCTGTTTCTTGTCTCTTAAATATGGAGACTTCAAGCATTTCTCTGGTTTATATAATTTTAAAATGAATATCTTTAGGGTTGGGACTGACAGAAGTAAGCAACTTTGAACGATGAAAATAGTGAGGAAGAGCATTAGAGTGCGGCTCTATTGTTTTTTTTATTCAACACTCAAAGTCAAACTTTCAGTAAATGTATTATTCTCGTATTTTGTTTATTCTCAACAGATTGACATTTATCCTCAATATTACGTCTTTATTCTCAACAGTTTGAATTAATTATCAACATTTAGACCTTAAAAAAAATCGAATTCATTAACAAAATCTTATTTTGACATTTTGCCTCTAACGTTTCAATTTTATTTCAACATTTAGACGTTATTCTTGATATGAAAATGCTATCAGTGTCCCTTATACTCTCCCTTAGATACTCGTATAGCATTTTTGTTTCAAAATAAGATTTGTTTGTCAACCATTAAAATGTATGACTTTCCTCTCCTTCCAGTGGATGACACCGCCATACAGTCCGCCTGATTTTGAGGCCACCCATTCCCCCCCGGCGATATCCTTATTTCAGCGAATAGTAGAAGACACTCATGAGCACACACAGCAACGCTTCCAGTGCACCAGTGTGATCCGGCACACTTCAGATGGCCCGAGCGGCTCCTGTAGCGCCCGTCCTGCCTCCAGGGAGGACAGACTCACTCCTGTTCATACAGAAGACTGTGAATATGGGCAAGATGCTGTCCAACAGTCTGACTCTAAAGCAGCCGGGCCACAGAGATCTCACACTGCGGCTTTGCCAATTGTTTTTGAAACCAGCCAGAAGAGCCTTGAGGATAAATCAAACTCATCTCAGGCTGCTGGCTCTGAGCTCTCTCCTCTCCCTCTGTACAGCCACATTCTTCCTGTCACAGCCTGTGACAACCCAAACGGATATCAAATCCCATCCCCCACCACTGCACCACAGCACCGTCCCCCAACACAAGCAGCTCCTCCGGCCCAAGTCTTCTTCCTCGTCCCTCAGCTGGCTGTTCCTACTCTCTACGTCCAGCCGGCCCTGGTGACCTCTGGGGTCACCAAGCTGACGGCCATCGCCCCCGCGCCTGGGCTGGCCCTGTTGGAGCAAAGACTAAACCAGCCGCAGCCCGAGGTGTCCCGTGTCCGGAGCCATGTTTGTCCTCATGAGGACTGCAGCAAGACCTACTTCAAGAGCTCCCACCTCAAGGCCCACCTGAGGACACACACAGGTACGACAGGAAGGAGTTTAAAGGGATAGTTGAAGGGGGGTTTATGAGGTACTTATACATAGTCAGTGAATTACAAAGCGTAGATGGTTGAGTTTTGTAAATACGAACTGATCCTAGTCACACAATAATACAAACATACTAACCAATTGAGGTGCGGTAGACTAGCAACTCCCAATGTTTTGAGAGGTCAAATAGTTTTCTTTGTCAGAGAGCATAGATTCAAGATTCAAAGTCTTTATTGTCATATGCGCAGTAGCTACAGTGTAGTAATGGCAATGCAAATCGTCCCAGGTCCCTCCAACAATGCAAAAATGAATATAAGACATAAAATAATAAAACAAATGTAAAAACCAATAAAATAGTACAAGGAGAACTGAGTACAATACAAATAGTGCAAGACTGTCTTACAAGTACAAAGTCATGCAGATGAAGTACAGTACACGTCAAAAAATAACAATTCAATAAGCTCAATGTTGCAGTTGAGTCTAAATACATGTACATAGAATAACATTAAAATAAACAGAATTTAATATGAAATACTGTCTATTGTAGTAATGGATATAGAACAGCTTCAGTCTCCCATCAGAAAGAGCTGCCTGACAGCAAGTAAAGTGTTGAAAATATTATAAATGTAGCTTATAGCAGTAAACTAATGTTGATTTTTCTTTGATGGTCATTTTCTTACGATGAACAATGTTTTGCTGCCCATCCCCAGCAGTAAACAGGTTCAATTCAGTGCTGGTTCTTAGGTCTACTTCTCCAAACTGGGGGAATACCGACGCCATCTATTGACTATGAATAAGTACCTGATATAACCCCCACTCCAAATGTGAACTTCAATATAGTATTTCATCATTAACCTTCTTTTTTCATCGGGTTTCATCCCATTCAAAATGTTGAATATCAGAAATATGGGTTTCTTTCATCTAATTGCCACAAGATAAGATGGTTGCATGCTATGTTAAAATGTATAGCATCTCTGGTTTATTTAATTTAAGCTTTTTCTTATTAACTTTTTTTAAATTAGGTATAGTTTGACGCACATTTGGACTGATAACTATATATTCAAGAAATAAATGTAACATTTGTATGTATTTGTTGGAATTAAGTGGGCTGAAAATGTGTTACACAGAATTGGGTCAATGTCTACTATATGTTATCCTAAGCAGTCAAGCCAGGGCAGATCAAATTTGACTTGAGGACAAAAACACTAAGGTTAAAAAAGTACATACATTTTAAATATGGAGTCCTTATATTATAATAATAATAATTCATATAGGTGCCTTTCAAGGCTCTCAAGGTCGCCATACAAACACATAAAAAACAAGATACACAATAGGCCTACCTATATAGATACTCGAAGACATTTTACAAAGCAGCCAATGGTCAGCTTTCAATGCAAAAGATGACACAAATGAAAGGGAAGCAAACAAATGACCCAAAAAGCCTTATTTTCTAACTTCACTGTCTGTTTTCCAACAGGAGAGAAGCCTTTTAGATGCAAGTGGGAGGGCTGCGAGAGGCGATTCGCCCGCTCCGACGAGCTGTCCCGCCACCGACGGACCCACACAGGGGAGAAGAGGTTCGCCTGTCCCGTGTGCCTCAGCCGCTTCATGAGGAGCGACCACCTCGCCAAGCATGCACGGAGACACCTCGCACAGAAAAAGACGCCCTGCGCAGTTAAAGGTCATCCAGTCTGCTCACATCACTGCTCACATCACTGTGTCTTCAACAAAAGCCTTCTGAGACATGCCGAGGAGACGCAGAATGAAATGCTGGGAATATGAAGTGTGCCGGTTATATGCAAAACTGTCAGATCATAACACTTCACATCTGAACCAGATGAATGTGCATGTGAAGCCTTTCCTTTGCTTTGATGATTCTAGTTGAATAAGATGTTTACATTCAAACTACTCAAACTGAGCATCTACACTAAAATGATCCACTGTTAATACTGTTCTGTACACTTTTGCAAATCAATGCTAAACATGTTTACTGTTGAGTGATTTTTGACCAAAGAATGTTAAGTATTGTTCTTTTGAGCCATACAAAAATATATTTGTAATAAAAAGATATTTGGCACGGAACTGTACTTTGTGTTTTGTATTTGTTTGCATATTTTGTAGGTTCATTGGTGCTGTCTATTTAACATGTAATGATACTTAGAAAACCATATGCTGCTCAAAAGTAACTTTGCTTTTGACTAGATACAGCCCCAACATCATCTTGCATTAGATCATTTTTCTAAAAGGAGAATTGGATTAAGTCATGTAATTAAACAGTTTCTGAAAGCGTTAATGTTCCGTGTATGATAGAACTCAGACACAGGGATTCACAGTCCAGTCATTGAGGTGACTGAGGTGTTTATTGCCAGATAGTTCATCATGCCTTAAACACAGATAAGGAAATCATATTATTTTAAAAGCAGTCCTAAATCTTGAAGAAATATTGATAAATAGCATTACATTTTTCTAGCATTAGAAATGCTTTGTTATTTCATGTTAGCTGATTCTTTATCCATCAGCACTTCCTTTGTTCCATCTGCAGCGCGTGCTGAATAATAAACCGGTTTTATTATGTCGAAGTATAACAGTTACCTGCTGCTCTTTTACTGGTCAGGGAGTAAGCTACTTAGCGTTTTAGAAAAACACTAGTTCAGTTTCTCAACCAGAACAGACTGCACTGATCATTATTACACGAGAGGACTTCATGATGACACTGGCTTTGTTCACAGATGAGTGAACACGCTTTCATTTGCAAGCTTCAAAACACTGAGTAGGGAAAACATGTAATCAAGCTCTGATCAAACTCAAACTACACAACCAATTAAATTCATAAATACACATCCTGTAGCAAAGCACACTACAATATCTCAGAACTGTGTTTTCATTTAAATACACAGCTTCAGTCAGTTATACATATTGTACTTTACGACACTGGCAAAAGCAATGAAGACATAGATAAGAGGATTTGTTAAATATGATCATTTAGAATCATTATACGTCTACTGTGTGTGTGTAAACGGCGCAAAACAAAGGGAAGAATGCATTTGTCTTTTAGGACTCATCCATTTTGTTGCACACTTAAAATATCTACTTAGGGTTTAATCGCTTAGTTTATTCTGTATTGGGGTTTGTAAAATGCTATATCTGCTGAGTCGGCTCCATTCAACCCCGTGGAATGTGGACCAGAGGAAGCTAGCAGCAGAAAGCAGGAAAGTAAAGAATTCCTAGTCTGATGATTGCTACGCGGGGACAGAGAGAGTGGCCTCTGTGTGGCAGGAATTGTGGAAACAAGGGACCAAAGAGAAGTTCTTCAGTGTAGCCTCATGGGTGACTCCAGTGTCCTGCATCTCATACCTGGGGGAGGGAAATGAACGTCAGACGAAGACAAAATCTACACAGAAGATATGCTCAGTTTCTCACTCCAAATATGAAAACCGTCAATGGCCGAGTCCCTTACCAGTCCCTGGAGGAGATGACGTAGTACACAGGGGGCGCTGGTGAGTCCGGGGTGGTGCGGAGGGGCTGTCCCATGGTGTAGGCCCCTGCCTGGGAGAAGGTCAGCCAGTCTCCGATGTTGAGCTCAGGCAGAAGGCAGTGCTCCACCACCTGGTCCAGGTCGTCTGCAGAGGGGCCCCACAGGCTGCTGCTGAACACCGGAGCATCCAGGGGGGGGTTCTGACACACAGATTTATTTACCAATCAACTTAACATGAGGGCTTTGATCATGACTTATTCAACAGGATATATTCTGGGTTGCCAGATAGAAATATGTATAAGTAGAACATCATTTATTTGTGTAGGTTTCCCTCAGGGCTCTGTTCTTGGTCCCCTACTCTTCTCCTTGTACACAAACTCGCTCGGATCAGTCATTAGCCCGCATGGTTTTTCATACCACTGCTACGCTGACGACACCCAATTAAATCTGTCCTTTCCGCCGCTCAGAGACCCAGGCCGTCGCACGCATCTCTGCTTGTCGAGCGGACATCTCTCAGTGGATGTCTACTCACAAACTCAAGCTCAACCTTAACAAGACTGAGCTGCTTTTCCTTCCGGGAAAAGATTGTCCAACTCTTGACCTAACGATCAACATCGGCCCCTCGGTTGTTTCCCCGACTCAGACTGCAAGGAATCTGGGTGTGATCCTAGATAACAAACTGTCCTTCACTGCAAACATCGCTGCAACAACCCGCTGCTGCAGATACACTCTTTACAACATCAGGAGGATACGTCCCCACCTGACCCAGAAAGCGACGCAGGTTCTGGCCCAGGCTCTCGTCATCTCAAGCCTAGACTACTGCAACTCCCTCCAGGCTGGTCTACCTGCATGTGCCATCCGACCTCTGCAGCTCATCCAGAATGCAGGGGCCCGTCTGGTCTTCAACCTTCCTACATTTTCCCACACCTCTCCGCTCCTCCGCTCCCTTCACTGGCTTCCGGTAACTGCTAGAATCCACTTCAAGACACTGGTACTTGCGCACCATGCTGCGAATGGATCTGGCCCTTCCTACATCCAGGACATGGTTAAACTGTACACCCACAGCACGCTGCACCCGCTCTGCTGGCAAACACGCACTGCGAGGGGGACCCAAGTTCCCATCAGCAAAAACACGTGGGTTTGCTATCCTGGCTCCAAAATGGTGGAATGAGCTCCCCATTGAAATCAGGAGAGCAGATAGCTTGCACATCTTCTTCGGGGGAGACTGAAAACTCATCTCTTTCGACTG